TTAAATATGGTTGATCAGATCGTTACCAACGACTCATAAGAAATAGTTAAAGAACATTTACTGTTGTTTTTAATTAATGGGCAGAGTGGGCTTAGGAAAGACTTTTAATCAGCATCAAAAAATTATGTTTCGGTGTTGATGAAAAGTGTTGCCAAACCCAAGCTATTTTTGCCGAGGCCTATGCCATTTTGATCTTATTTCACACTGAAAGAATGGGTTTCCATAAGTTTACGACATTTAGGACACTCTGGAAAATTACTAGAAACAACAACAAAAATATATAATAGGTTAAAATTCAAGGAAATTGTATAAATATTTTAAAATACTCAATTTCCGGTATAAATTCTTTCAGCGATACAAGTCTTTCTTGATTAAACTAGTTTATTCTTTCTCGATACAACTTTTAGTAATACACAGAATTTACACAGTCACTTTAAACTTAACAACCTTTATAACACACGCTATAAATCACAGTGGTTCACACACTTTACTTACGGTACCTACTGTTCGCTTGACTCAATTATCTATCTATCTTTTCCATCACGCTGGTTTTCCTCTCCAGGCTTATATACTAAAAAAAGAGGGCGCCTCGAACAAACTCGGGCCTCCCCGATAATTCATGATCCTTCCAGAAACTCCAGCGTCATGCTCCCAGCGTCACGCGACTTCTGCTGTTGTAAAATTTTATTTAATATTTGACTAATTTTATTCAATGGTCTATATATGGTAATGAGATTTTTGTTTTTCTTAGCTATACACAAATTTTTCATTTAAATTTAATATGAGAGTTGTGATTTAGATAGTTATAAAGGGCTAGTGTTAAATTTAGTATTTTTAGAAGCGATAATTTATCGCAGATTTGCTTACGCAACTGTTTACGAATCATTTGTTGGGTAGTTCAACTGTTAGGAATTGACGTCACGTTAGTCGACCCTACTAAGTTTTTCTCGTTGTTTTATTGAGTATTGTTACGTCATAAAGTGTCGTAGTGGGTAGAAAGTTTTAGTCCTCAGTTAGGCAATAGGCGAACAAGTTAAGTAAAATTAAATTAGTGAAGGTAAAAGTAAAAGTGAAAAACTGAAGTTAGACTTCATGATTGTGAGTTTAGTCTTAAAGGGTGATTTCTAAGGTGAGTTTTGTACCTTGTATTGTAATAATAGAGATAGACAATCATAATTTGTATTGTCAAAGGGTGTTCTGAAATGATTGAATTCGCCTGTATGGACTTTGACGAAAAGAAGACAATAATTTGAAGCTCTGGATACAACTGTAGTAACCAATAGTTATAGTGGTAATTTTAAAGTGAGCTTCACAGCCTATATTGTAATAACAGAATAGAGGAGAATAATTTGTTTTATCAAAAATATTCTAATCTATAGTAATGGAACCCGACTTTATGGACTTTGACGAAAAAGAGACAATTATTTAAAACTTTGGATACAACTGTCGTAGTGTAACGAAGTTTTGTACATACGTCTGATTTATTTTGAATATATTATTTTAAAACAAGTGGATTGTGTGCTCTCCGTTTATTGTTGAAATTTATCGCCAACAAGTCACAGACACCTATTGTAAATAATCCGGCCCTATAAAAAAGTGGCAGTTTTCTTATATGAATCCATGAAAAATTTGACAGGACAAATCTAAGATATTTAGTATTTTTATCTGTTTTATCAAATGTTGATTACAGTTTACTTTTTTGATGCTCATTTGTTATTTTGTTCAATTTTCTCACAGCTGTATCAAAAATATGAGGTGAGAAACTTTTATATAATATTATATATTTGATTAACAACAGCTCATTTTTAAAACTTTCTGGATTAGAAGGTAACTTTAAAGACCGTATAAGCTTAACTCTCTCAGAAAAAAAAAGTTGGTTCCAAGTAGTTTTGTAATTCCAAGATTTAATGCTTTACCAAAAGTTCACAAAATAGGAGATTTCAAAAGACTTATAGTATCAAATATAGGTTTATCCTTTTACAATATAGCTAAATGTTTATTATGTAAGTATTCTTTTCTGGATGATAAACACACTTATACTATTAAGAATTCTAGAGAATTTGTAGTAAAATAAGTAAGGTGAATCTAAGCAATGATGATATATTTGTATGTACCTATTGATAAAGTTATTACTTGTTTTGAAGACAAATTACGAGTGAATAATGCGCCAGCCATTGAAATTTTAGACATGATGAATTTTACCAAAATTGTGTGGAAAAATTCATTTTTGAAACTTAATAATAAAAGGCCTAGCTATGGGTTCTCCGTTATCTTCATAGCTGTGTGATCTTTTCATGGGTAGGTTTGAAACCAAAGCTTTACAGAATGCTAAATTAAACCAGAAATGTGTGTGAAACTTTCGTGGTGTCGCAACATGATAAAGAAAACTTTCTAGTTTTTGCTAATTACTTGAATAATTGTAAACAAGCTATTGAATTTACTTATGAAGTTGAAGAAAATAATAGTTTACCGTTTTTGGATGTAATAGTTAAAAAAACAAAAATCAATTTTTTTTACGGACTATCATAAATCTTTCTCTATTATCATGTCAACACACTAAGAATCATGTCACAAAAATGTCAGCTTTTCACTCTTATGTTTACAGGTCTTTAAGTCTATGTTCTAATCCAGAATAATTAAAAAATGAACTGTTGTCAATCAAACATGTAACATTGGATAGAGATATTTCGTCTCATGTTGTTAATACAGCTGTAAGAAAATTTAACAGAATAACAAAGTGTGTGTTTGTTTGCAGTTAAGGACAACGCTACACAAGAGGCTATATGTACTTTGCCCACCACGGGTATCGAAACCGGGTTGTTAGCGTTGTAAGTCCTCAGACATACCGCTGTGCCACTGTGGTTGGGTGGGTGATAAAAAAAAGTAAACTAAAATCAACTATTGATAAAATAGATAAAAATATGTTGTTTTAACAACATGTCCCAGGTTTGTGATGTAAACTTTTCATAAGTTAACAAAAATCTCATTCCCATTTATAGCCCATTGAATAACATTAGTCATAGAGAAAACGGGTATTTATAAAAATTGAATGTGAATGTGGTGGTGTATACATTGGTCAAACTAGAAGAAGCTTAACATTTAGAAGAAATGAACATATGAGAAATGTTAAAAACAAAAGTGAAAACTCTTCCCTAGCTGAACATGTAAATTATACTGGTCATGTCATTATTTAAGATTAAATAATTTTTACTGTGCTTCATTATTTCTATGGTTTGTCTAATATTTCTAGCGGTTATATTATTCGGTTGAGCCAAAATAACAGTTTTTTCCCACTGGATAACATGACCAGTATAATTTGTATGTTTTTTCCCCACTAGATAACATGACCAGTATAATTTGTATGTTTTTTTCCCACTGGATAACATGACCAGTATAATTTGTATGTTTTTTTCCCACTGGATAACATGACCAGTATAATTTGTATGTTTTTTTCCCACTGGATAACATGACCAGTATAATTTGTATGTTTTTTTCCCACTGGATAATGAAGAGTTAGAAAATCAGAAGATAAGTAGATGGCGTAATCTTTTTTTTTTTCAATATGTACGACCTGGCATGGCCAGGTGGTTAGGGCCGTTGATTCGCAATCTGAAGATCGTGGTTTCGAATTCCCGTCCCACCAAACATGCTCGCCCTTTCAGCCGTGGGGGCGTTATAATGTTACGGTCAATCCCACTATTCGTTGGTAAAAGAGTAGCCCAAAAGTTGGCGGTGGGTGGTGTTGACTAGCTGCCTTCACTCTAGTCTTTCACTGCTATATTAGGGACGGCTAGCGCAGATAGCTCTCGTATAGCTTTGCGCAAAATTCAAAACAAACACATTTTAAATATATAAACTAGTGGACACGTGATCATGATTTTTCGCATTTATATCTTGCACAGCGTTTGTTTTTCACGCTCTTGAGGATAACTCAAACGACGTCAAAAAATGTAGAGTGTCTGTCTTCAGGCCGGTGAGCGTTTTTTTTTTTTAAATAAAATTATAATTGTTTATTGTACAACGTTGATCGTTTGAGTATTTTAAAATATTACACAAGAAACGTTCTTTCAATATTTTTTTTATGAGTTTCGTTTCATAAGGTTTGGTCAACCATATCTAAGTCTATTAATCACCTAATGGTCTAAAACAATAAAAATGTGTTCAATGAACAAAATATTTTACTATTAATTCTGCTAAGCAAATTGTCTTGTCCACTTTTGATTGGATTGTAAAGTTATTGGACAAACTGCCTTCTTGATTGCTTTACATTCAGTAGAAATCATATCATAACTGCATTTAAAACATTTGTATTTCATACAAACTTAAACCTTCCATTTGCAAATGATACTATGGCATTCTCTTCGTCAAGCACTCAAAGAAGACCTTCTGTATATCTTAATTACTTTGACAAAGGTAATGGACTTTCATCAAAATCTTGGTCCAAATCCTGGTCTTTTTTGCAAGTCGTATTATTCCGAAACTCTAATAGAGATTTATTGCCGAAGATAATTTGAATGTGTTTTTTTTATCGTTTGCCAGACACAGCGACTAATGTTTGTGCGATTGATTCCAATGTTAGAGTTAAAAAAAGAACTGTGAAAATCTTAAGTTATAGATGACACGAATTTAGAATTCAAGAGTTAAATCATTTACTTTTCTTGATGCTTACGTTCAGTATAACTCGAGGTAAGTGTGATGATTTGACACACAATATTAGTGAACGGTACATATGTGTGTGTACAGATATATATATATAACACATTCTTTAATAAAACCGGTAAAATATCATAAGTTAAAGTTATCTTACATAATTTTATCACTACGGCCTGTCCCCCACCCTCAGTAGCTCATCCTGAAGGTTTATAATAACACTAAACACAGGGTTTCTATACCCGTGATGGGCACAGCACAGATAGCCAATTGTGTTTTACAAGAAACAAACAGAATTTTAAGTCCTGATAAGAATGTTCATTTTATATATATATTTCACACTGAAAAACTGATAAAACCCGAGTTCGACAGTTGGGCCTAAGTCATAATACACACATAATTGCTCATAATTATATGTATTTCGAAACGGACGGCTTGAGCCAGTTATATATGTACAAAGGCTTTATTTATTGTTTCCTGAGATGTCGCAGCCAATTTGAGTTGTGTTCCGTAGATGATCCCATTCGATACCAAGTTTGTCAAGTTTACTATAAATAGTTTTTAACAGATCTTCGTCCAGAACTTTCTCTCGTCCAAGAATCCACAGGTTTTCTGCAAATTAAGAAGAACCAACTGTTTAATTTATATTCATTTCCCACATCTTTATTCATTATTAGCTAAAGAGCTTAAAAAATAATGCGGCAAACCTAGTTTACATTTATTCATACAACACATCATCTATTATACTGACCTGTATGTAAAAGTCCAAAAGGTCCCAGGTTGAAACAAGACCAAACGACGGCGAAATTATCGTAGTCTGTGTCTAGAATCCAGTAATTTGCAGGAAAAGGCGCTGTAGAAAAGAAACCCATATTAGAAGTCTGTGGTAAATTCAATGATAGATATAGGATATTTTATATCACAACATCGTGTTGTAACTGGTTAGTAATAAACATGTTTCAGTATTTGATATACTAAATAAATAGCTCAGTTTGGGTTTTACATATTTTAATAGCTGCGGTTTTAATTAGATCGCAAATTGGTCAAGAGATGGAGCTATGAGCTAAGAGTTTGTACTTGACAAAAGAACAGAGCCATTCTATGAGCCGCTAAAGAATCTGTACACTAAATGTTGTTTAGAGGTCAATAAAGAATCTGTGCACTAAATGTTGTTTAGAGAGCACTAAAGAATCTGTACGCTAAATGTTGTTTAGAGGTCACTAAAGAACCTGTACACTAAATGTTGTTTAGAGGTCACTGAAGAATCTGTACATTAATTGTTGTTTAAAGGTCACTAAAGAATCTGTACACTAAATGTTGTTTAGAGGTCACTAAAGAATCTGTACACTAAATGTTGTTTAGAGGGCACTAAAGAATCTGTACATTAAATGTTGTTTAGAAGTCACTAAAGAATCTGTACACTAAATGTTGTTTAGAAGTCACTAAAGAATCTGTACACTAAATGTTGTTTAGAGGGCACTAAAGAATCTGTACACTAATTGTTGTTTAGAGGTCACTAAAGGATCTGTACACTAAATGTTGTTTAGAGGTCACTAAAGAACCTGTACACTAAATTTTGTTTAGAGGG